CATTTCTAGCACCAAGTTTGATTAACCATTTCTTTTAACACTCAATCGCAATGGAGGAAAAAATATATCTGATGCACAGCATTCGAATATGCTCAACATTTTATTATGCATGTCAAATTATGAAGTCTTCAAAATGTTTTTACGATGTACGTTGACTTGATGCAGCAAATAATAGCCTGAAATTTCAACGATTACAGGTAAAAAGAATTTTCCTTTCTGTGCACATGGTCCCTTATTCATTTTTTGCATCGCTGCCAGGTGACGTAATGCACAAGTTATTCATAAATAAGGACAAGAACATGCAACATATGTTTGGTGTCACAAGGGAGGTAAACGCTAACAAAAAACGAAAATTAACTATAGTACCCTTCGATTAAGGCGATACGTAGATTTAACGAAGTTATTTTATTATGTAAGGTCCAGGTAAAACATTCCTTCTGTTAAATGTAAAGCGTTAAACTAAAATATGTTTCAGCTTAAATAGAACAAAGGCCAAGATAAAAAGTATAAGCACAACAATATAATGTTTACAGTCTTTAGTTTTCTATGTTGTTTTTGTATTTTGTATACAGTTGATTGTCTTTTGGGCCTTTTTCGTCAATGACATTGTCAGGTTTTTTTTAACTTTTGAATCTTACTTTAGTATCTTTGGCCTCTCTTTCTACCTAGATAACAAAATTAATGTTCAAATCACAAGCATAGCAATCTCTAACTGATAATACAAATGTCCAATGAATCAAAATATGAAATTGATATTGATTTACAACTAAGCAACATCGTTAATAAAAAAACACAGGATTGCAGTTTCGTTGTTTATAGGTGCTACACACATTGAGTCATGTCTATACAGATATTACAAGAAAAACAGTACATATTGGACAAATATCGTCATGAGTGTAAATAATTCGATATTTTATGATGTTGCATTATTTGAAAAATGTACAAGACTGTGTGGCTATGGCCAGTGAAACATATTATGATACCTTCCACACAACCTTTATAGAATAGTAGTCTGATGTGCGACTTGAATTTGAATTACAGAGTATATAAAAATTAGGAGATGTGGTATGACTGCCATATTAAATACATTTATCAAGTAACATTATTTCGATGTTCACATGCAAGCATTCCATTATCCGATATCTGTATTGATATAATTGAAAAGTGTCCTAAAGGCTTCTACAACCTTGCAAATTTGTTCAAAACTGCAAAAACTCCCAAATTAGATGCAACAGTAGATTATCGATGCTTAGATATCACCAATTGATTCAAAACGAAAATTCAGGAACAAAACAGAAGAGGAAACTGAGGAAATCGGACGAAGGCCAAAAGTATCATAACTATGTACGTCAACAGGTTTAGCGTCTCATGTTATGCATGGATGTCCCAGCATGCAAATCTACATTCAGTCAAGATGTCAAAATCGAAATAGGACACAATCGGTCAATTAACATATCGGACCTGTTGTTACTAACATCTACCTCATTTTATATGTGGTGAATACCTATATCATTGGAAGTCAAAACACATCTCCTTATGATATATCAATATTGTCTCGAGACACTAACACATCATAACGGTCAAATAATTTGTGATTGTGACCGTAAAACGAATGAAATGAAATTAACTATAACAAGTTCGATAGTAGGACGCGCTATTCTGAATATATCTCAGCAGGAACGCTCAAACCTAATCATTTGAAAGCCAAGGATGCGTAAATATGCAGAAACGTTAGAAGATATGCAAAAAAGGATCTAATGAGACAATTGCAACCACTGACTAGGTGCGTACATTGTGATATACCTAGACGATGTATTTAAAAAAAGAGGTATCATAATGATAAGGGAAGTTGTTTTGTCGCTGAAATTGCGAAAATTATCATATTAAAACATTTCAAGCCTTTTAATCTTACACTTAGTTTTTTGGACAAAATAGATATAAAAAAATTCATACTTAAACAGATATTTTTAAACAAACTTACATTTTTGTTAGATACACAATGTATCTTGTAGCATAATGTAATTTTGGCAAAGCCAATATCTAAATATTAATGACAAGATCATAAACGAGGCTATTGTGGCAGTTGTTTGCAATTTTGCACTACATTTTGGATTAATTCAATATGTTTGCAACCCTGATGCAAACAAGTATAAACGTAGGACAACAGTCCATAATAAAAACCCAAAACTGACTAATAAGCACAAAGTATGATATTTAGTACATACAAATTAATAAAAAAAAAATAAATATATATCTCAAGGGTAGAAAAATGTTGCCTCATCATACCTTCACCTTTTTTTTTAAATAAGTGTGCAAATCCTTCAGGTAAAGCTAATCACAAACGGTTTTTGCATTTGTTAATTCTTATATGTTCTAAGGTTTTTTTTTGCATGTTTGGTGATTCCATAACTTTAGGCTATCTTCGTTTCCAGTAATGGTTTATCTCGACATGTGCATTGATACTATTAAAATCAGTTACGTAGGTTTGCTTTGCTGTTCGACCAGTACATGTTTTTAAAGATATAAAACTCTGAATATGTTAAAAGTATTGTTAGTAATGCATAACTATCCAAAAACGTTTTCTAGCCAAATGTGGCCCTGCATAACCAATCTTATTTGTTTTCCTAAGCTTAATATTTATATTTTCGCCAACAAATATTAATAACCTTTTCATCTAAACGTAGACAACACAATTTTTTGTAAATGTTGTTACTCCTAAGTGATAATGATTGAGTTTTGTTTATGACATCTTGTGATGAGACAGGTGTTATTAGTTGAAAACGATCTGCTTATATTTCCGGAGTATGTTTTGCTGAAATTAATTTTTTGCTCAGTATTTAGTATTTGTGTAATATATTGTTGACTGTTGTTTGTTCGCCATTTCCGTTGGTCATGGTGTTTCTTCAACGGATGGTTTTTGATAGCACAACTGTAACCTTAACCGACCAGTATTACTATTTATTTAAAAGTATAACATGACTTACAATTTATTCAATTATTTCAAACATACAGCTTTTTAGATCCGTTTTATATTTTGATTTTTACACAGTCCTAGTTTACTATGATGTGTTTTATGTACTGCTGTTTGTCTGTTGGTCTTTTTCTTTTTAAGCAATGGCGTTGTCAGTTAATTTTCGACTTATGAGTTTGAATGTCACTTTAGTATCTTTCGCCTCTCTTTTACAATGTTTTATGAATGTGTTGTATTGCTTCGACGTCATAATGTTTATAGTAGATTAAAGTATTCATTTATCCTTCTATGTATTTCAGGTTCGAGAACCATGCAAAAAATATCAGTTGAGTAGGTATTATGAATATATTTAATCAGACTTCATATTCACACACGATATCGCCCAAACACAATACAAACATGCAATTATGAATTATCATGCGTCATAAACAATTGCCAACATTACCATATGTAAAATAAATTAAACATATTTTAACATCAATTACAGGTCTATGGCGACTAAAGACGTGACGGGATATAATTTTTCTTGGTGTTGCACAAGCTTTAGTTTGAATCCTGCTGTTGGATCGAAAAATTCATGACTTTTTTTATTATTCCAAAGTTGCAGTTCAAACATTGTTTTGCTGAATTTACGAAGTGATCCATCAAGGTTTACTACCTTGGACATGCTCATAAACATAAGTAACATTTACCTGATTTTCAATATTAAACCCTTCCTCTGAAAATTAGCCCAACTGATTAACAAAGTGTACATAAAATCATACAATAAACATATAAATCAGTACAGGAAAAACACTTAACTCTTTTATTACTGTACAGTGTTCTTATACATCAAAAGAACACATACTTTAAATCAAAATAACCTTTTTTTCGAAACATCTAGTAAAATTGTACAATTAAATTAATATACATAATATGTCTTTGTTACTCAATCTGAAACTACATGAACTACTGTATTCATTTAAAAGCAAATTTTTTTGTTTCAAATATTAGAAATGGAAAATCATAGTATGTGTCAAACACATCAAACACTGAAAGGAAAACTTTTGTTACGAATTCTTCTTCTTTTCTTATAGATCTGATGAATATATAGAAGTACATAGAGGCAATCCGGCGTTTTCAGAACCATATTCTACCTTGCAGCCTCAATCGGGTATGCTTCATAAATGAATCACGACATAAAGGACTAGATGATAATTTTGCACGTTCATTGACGAATTTATCTAGTTTTTTATTTTGATTCGAGCGTAATTAACAAGTCTCATGTAGATTGAATGGTAATACGGCACACACAATTAATTTTCATATGATCACGCAGAACTGTTCGGTTTATAAGACTTCACCATCTACCTTTTTGAATGAATAATCATGTTTTAGCATATTCAAACATTTGAGTCACATTCATCCCCAGACGTCTGCAGTCGAATCAAAATCAAAATCGTTTTTTAAATTATCATACATAGGTTGATTTGGTTTACTATAGCATCATTTACGATAAGCTGTATTATCCTCTGTTACATAAACCAGATACATAAAAATCAGAATGGTACAAGCAGAATTTGAAGCCTTTATATAAGATTTTATTCGAACAATAGTTTTATTTATCCACAATAAGGACGTTATCAAATTCTAAATCAATAATAAACGTAGCATATTTTGAAAACTTCATCGGCTTGAGATAACGACTGCTTGTTTAATGAAACGAGCAATTTGCGACAAGCCTCTAGCACTCTTCTTACAACAAGATGTTTTGAAGTATCTTATGTGCATTTTTCTTGCAAAGACATCTGATATGAAATGATTATTTTATCTGTTCATTACTGCTGCGTAGTCCAATCTTCCTTTGTCTACAAATCGTCGTAGGTTCAGCAATAAGAGCACCAATTCGCCAACGAATTTACATACATCCGCTTCATGAAATTTAACATGTAAGGTTGACTTTATTCATTATTATTTCAAATAAAAAAACATTCAGATGTACAACGAGTATGGATAATTGGGGAATAAACGCTTTTTCTTTACTCTACAGAATCAAGACCTCTTCAAGAGCCCCGGTAATTAAACGTTCATGTGGTAACACTTGCTAGCACCTTCAACTGATGAATTTAGCATACAAAACAAATAAATGTGTTTCCAATAATAACGCTGTAATTTCAAACCTACTTCATAAGATAATTTTGTGTATCTAGTAAATATAGATTTATTGATGTTACGTATCGACAAAAATCTTAAAATTATAAACTCGGGAATATGTTTTGCCTTTACAAAGTAAAATAACAAAAAACCGAACTCCAAGGAAAGTTCAAAACGGAAAGTCCTTTATCAAATGGCAAAATCAAAAGCTCAAACTCATCAAATGAATGGAAAACAACTGTCATATTTCTGACTTGGTAAAATTGCGAAATAAAACCTCCGAGAAATAGACTACTTTACAGTATATACATGTGTCAAATGAATTATTACCCGATCTCATGGAGTGGATGGTTTCCTGCAACGCTCTTGGCAATCTGTCTGTACGTCCATTTGTCTGGTAGTTATAGCGTCCGTCAATCCGACCATTACTTTGGTGCATATAACAAAGTCTCTTTATATAACATTATTATTGTACAATTGTCTAGAATGATGTGATGTGCAGTTGAACCTTGTTAACAATTTTCTGATCTGCCTGGAAACATCTTCATACTGTGACGATACGGTGATTTATTTTTCAAATGGGGTATAAAGTTTTGAGTTGTTTCGCATTTCATTCAATTCGGTATAGTGGATTGTATTATGATCTTGAACTCAAAAATCATGATTACATTTATATGTTGCATTTAACCAATTACCTGCTAATATCATTATGGATGAGCTTTGAATTGTTTTAACACACTTGCATGATTTGTTTTCTTCATATTCCTCAGTTACAAATAGTCTTATTTGATATTTGGTCTTGAACTTCGTAAATTGAGTTGTTCCATGTGATCTTATTTCAACTCTACCAGGAATTTCTTATCTATGGAACGATACTTTCAAATCGTACATCCAATACAACCAAAATGACTTGATGTGTTTCGGCTATATATTCCTCTGTCCCTCTGTTTTGGAATTCATTTGATTTTTGCACCTGTATTTTGTAAATGTTATGTTGAAACTTGTACGTAGATCTGCTTCCCGTCATGTCCTGGTTGACCATACTTTGAATTCTAATTATTCCCATATATCATGTGCATCTGTTTGCTTTTAGTTTTTATGTCATTATTTTTTCTTCTATTTTTGTTCAATATTGGACCACATTTAATATATATGTATATATTCAACAGTAATGATACATATGAAGAATGTGGAATGACACCCGAGGTGGATATTTATCAAAACATTGAAGAGGGGTGAGTAATATCCGTTGAGTTATGTCATATTGGTCGCACATTAAAATAGCATATAACGTTCAATACTATAAATATTTACAAGTAATGGGTTTCCCCTGGTGTATCTGTTCATGCAACCTTAACTATCTATCTAAGTTTCGAACAAACAACAATCACGTTGTTTAAAAATCATACCAACCACTTACTGCACAATTCTCCAATAAAAAAAGTTTAACAAACCAAGACTTACAACGAAAAACACATTGTTCAGATAGTCTGCCTCGGTATAGGCATATCATGTAGAAAGGTCAAACAAGATTTACGAGCGTACAACCACATTGTTTTGTCTATATAAAAAGTAAAACATACAATGAAAATGTACCAACCGATTACCCATAATGACCATACGATACAGATACAGTGGAGATAATGACGTAAAATGTTATGTTTCGCGACTTTAAACTGTGAAATATCGGGAAAAGATGCATTTTTCGACTGATTTTAAGCATTAGCTCGAAAACGAGTACATCGACCCCTACTTTAAAAAAAAGACATTGAGAATGATTATGTATGAAGATTAGGTGTACCAATTTTTAGGAAAAAATCATCACTTTAGATAAATATGCAGTACGAAATGCCGGTTTTTCCTTAAATCGTAAATATTTAATGAAAATGAATCATTTCCAAAGAATTGATACACAAAATTAGACAATACTTGTGTAGAAAAGATATTTCAAATATATTTACATAAATCCGCGTTTGTTTATCTTTTGAAACAAAAAAGTTACGTATGTCTGTCCAAAAGATAGATATGTCATAGAAACTGAAATTCTGAGTAAATGTCAAAATTTTGAACCCATATTTATCTCTAATAGTAGCACATGAAGGTATACTGTTTTTATCACATATTTCAATTGACTAGGTAAAAATTAGCTTGTATGCAAATTTTCGTAAAAGTCACCGTGGGATCAAATCTGTATCGTATGCCCTTAAGTGTAGCAAGACATCAATAGCCATCAAATGATTTTAATAGCAGGATGAAAATGTGCTCTCTTTGCATTGGAGTTTTACCAGCTACTGCATTTGACATTGAAATCCTATAGCGACTGCACCCGAATGCATCAACACGGAAATAAAGGTGTGCATGGTATTACGAAAGCATTGTCAAAATGTGGTCGATGACAATCTAGCTAAGGTAGCCCTGATAGCTTTTGGTTGAATGATGTTCATTTTTATTGCATTTATACTAGCTACTGTTAATGACAATGCAGTTACACCACGGCTCAGGCAGACAACATTTACATTTTATCCGCTTTGAATTAAACTCATTCCCATTTTCCTTAAATTTGCATAAATTATCTAAATGGATTTAAATTTCATTTTCTTAGAACACTTCAATAAATGCATGATCGTTTAATTGCACTGATACAAAATAAAAAAACTATAAATACACTAAATTATTTCACTTTAGATATGGACATTAAATGTTCAAAGTTCATAAAAATTTACCAATGAAGTGTTTTTGATTGGCTTCACTGTGTGAATCAAAATATATTTTCAGATCAGGAAAAGAGAAAAAAAAAACACCAACCAAGTGATGAGTGCTGAAATGAAGATATAGCCGTTCGCTAGAGATATTGATTTTAGATTTGATATATACTTCTGTAATCAGTTAAACAATATGTTATTTAATCATCTGTGTCCTTTCAGGTGAATGGTATTTTATTGTGTGTATTATATAGATATATAACATTGTCTCAGCTAAAATCAAGCATGTGTCAAATAGCTTAACCAATTTTAAATAAAATGTATAGATGGTTTTTAAAATGGTGTTTATCTACTTCAGAAAAGAAGTTGAATACTTTAGGTTTGTTAGAAGCTAAGAAGCATTAATATTGTTAACGTTTACAATTCAAGAAAAATACATTCATGTATTGAACGCACGATCGTTTTTTTTTTCTTCTAGCAAATAACACCTGATGTGGTTTCTTCATTTCATTCACTGTAAAATTTACCCATCTATTGGGTATGTTTATCATTATTGAGGATAATGACAGCTTAAACTTACGGCGTACACACAAATGGCTTGAAATCATTTGCATAAAAATTAATGACAATCATAATTATATGGTACTAGCCCTTGACCAAATATCTTGTACAACCTGTCATATTTTGTATGAACGGACTTGTTTAGTACAAACGACAAATTTATAATAAGACTTTATAGAATCCACATCGGAAGACCTATTTTTGGAACTATCTACACCCTAAGATACACGCTATAATAAAAGATAGACTAGCCAAATGGAATAGTAAATAATGCTTTAAAGCAATACATAATCTGAATTTAAATAAATTTTTTAACTGAACTGAATTTATTCTGTTTTTCCGCAACTTTTCACATGTTTCATATGTTAAACAAATATTTCTAAATAGAGAACTTGAATTTCTGACAGTATTTCAATCTCGATCAGTATTCTCTGTATTTATTTTTTGTTTGGATTTTTCTTTTTTATTTTAAGGCTTTTTATTTCTTAATTGTTGCAATTGCTTATTAAGTAGTCCCGTTGTAGTATGTGCGATTCAATCATGGATGATTATACATTCGATTCCTCACTTGGTCAAACAGAAGACATTACAATTGAAATTTACCGCTATTCATCAAAATACGCCTCATCTTTGAGCAGTCTAAAGACTGGATTCTTTGCCGCTCATAATATGTGCGAAACGTTTGAAGAGTATTCCTAGCTACACGTACAAATATCTGACTCAGCGCATTTAGTATGTCATTCTATGATGTATTCACTAAATATGCATGTGATACGCGTCGGTAACAGTTAAGCGAAAGGAAATCCCTTCTAAACATAAATGACAAATTCATAACCTAATCTCCCAATTTATTTTGTTTATTATATTGTCGTTTAATTTTGTAGCAGTTCAGTGTTTCTGTTATTCCGTTGTTTTTCTTCTTATAGTTGATATGTTTCTCTCGGTTTTGGTTTTGTGACCCGGAATTTGTTTTCGCTTAATCGATTTATGACTATTGAACAGCGGTATACTACCGTTGCCTTTATTAAGGTTCAAAAATTTCAACCAAAATTTACAATAACAGTTATTAAATACATTATACTAGTAGTCACAATACACATTCGCTGATATTTTTCATTCATTATATATTGAAGCCAATATATGGCCCCATTTAGTCATTACCTTCATTCCATTATATCTAGATATGAGTCTATTTTGCTATTGAAAACTGTTTAGTTTATGTCACTTTAATATTTTGTTAACCAAAATTTCACCCTTGTTATAATGTTTATACAATTTGAACCCTTTTCTTTCCATGTAACGTAAATATTTGAACAATCGTAGGCAAACAAAGATGATAAAAGATACATCAAAAGATAAAAAACCAAATCGGGAATGGAATAATTGCGAAAGATATCGATTTTCCGCGGAAAAATTTGGAAAGTAATTTTAACTTTTCCTAGTATTAAATTTGTTTCGTGAAAAGGTGTCTCACCTTTCTTTTCGTCGTGTTTACCGAACGTTTTCCTTTATTCCTAGAATTCAATATAAATATCTTTAATCTTAAAATGTAATCAAAATCACAAAAAACGACACAAAAATGTATTTTGTGTTTGGATGATACCATGCATGAACATTTTTCATATGAAGGAAAGTCAAACAACACCAGTTTGGTCAGGTTCCATCTTCTAAAAATGGAACGACTTCTAAATTGGGTACAACATTTCATCATTCGTTTGTGATCGTGTGATGAATTCCAAATTAAAGGTTTTACAGTATTCATTCAGATGTCACAAATTCCACAAGTTTTAATCGCTTAAACATGTTGCTGTTATTTCATCTTTTTAACAGCAATTATTTTGATGTAGATTCAGAATTACAAACCACTAACCCCCAACAGAAAAAGGGAGATTTTATAACGTTGAAAGAAATGATACAAAATTTCATATACGGATCTGAGATAATTCCATTATGAAGTAGTATTGTAGCGACAGTAGAAAAAAACTAATCGGATATATTAAATACTAATTGGCACAAACAATCATATAAACGGTAAAAACATAATGAGCAAGTAAAATAAAACTTGTAGGTATAAAGATTATGTATTTCTATAAAATACGCTTCGGTTCTGTTGTTTCAAACTGTAACTTGTATTAAAACCACTGTATTGTATGTACATGTTTGTAAATATATCATTTTTTTTTTTTGTAAATGTGCTTCTTTCTCTCTGTACTTTTGTATCTTCATTGGAAATAAAATATAAAGATTTTACATTGTAAAAACTTCTTTAGACATTTTATCTGTACTATCTAATTTTTTAGATCCATTTTCTGTGTAATTTATTTTTTTCTTACCAATCAGTCTTTATACTTTATATGTTCGCATCCACTTCCTTTATTCAGTATTTTCCACCCAATATTCTCTATACTTTATAGTTTGAAACCTATTTTTTGCTACTCGGTTTTGTTCATTGTTCTTTGTGCAAGAAACCCTTCCAAGATCAATTACTTGATAACAATAGGTGCACAGTTTAGCTCAACATGAATGATCCCCTATTTGCTGGAAAAACCCATCTAAAATATTTCAAGCGTAAATATGTTCCATCTCCCACACAATTGCATTACATATATATATATATAGGTGTGATGAAAGGTCAAACACTCAATTATAACTTATGAAGCTTCTCTGGGCGACCAATATTCAAGCAGATATTTAAGATCGGCATTTTATTTATTGATAGCGTAAAATGGATTGAATCAATTTAGTATGTCAGCATCTGAAATCACGATAGGCATGTTTGCATTGCCGTAAGTCTATATCCATCATGTACGTAGAACATCCATATACCTCCTTATTTTGATAATACAGAACCACCTATTATTTCGTATTCTTATAAAAAAAACCAGTAGAAAGTTGATTTTTAATTATACGTAAGTTACATCAGACGTCAATATAGAAAGTAATGCTCCTTCCACTTCAGACTGTGAAACATCTTGTTTTAAATATGTTCCCTATGGCCATGTCATTACAGGAGACATCAACATCGTCGAAGACCGTGAGGTCAAAACTTTTCTTAAGAAAGGACATAAATATCGTCCTCCATCTATAACAGATTGGAAACAGTGTCGTCAGGTCATTAAAGACGCTTTGTCTGCCTACTGTTAAAATTGGTGTAAACGTGAAAAATTTGATAAAAAAATCTCTAGACAGTTATTTGAATAACATTATGAATACTGTTGATATTCGTACATCTCATTTTGAAAACAATTCTGAAATTAATAATAGGGTCCATGATATACCCATTTCTAGAATAAAAAAATACTGCCACTACCCAGCTTAAAGCCTCTTCCGAACATTTGAAAGTCCCGACTATGTACTGGTTACCTATATTACACAAACAACCATTTAAATTCCGTTTCATTTCCGCATCTAGTAAGTGTTCTACTACTAATCTGTCAGTGCTTCTAACTACCTCCCTTACTACTATCAAAGAACTTGTTATTATCTTTTGTAATAAAGCTTATGAAAATAATGGTATTAATTATTTTTGGAGTGTTAAAAATTCCTTAGAGGTTTTAGATAAAATACGTGCTTTTGATGGTTCTTTTAATTCTGTTGACAGTTATGATTCTTCTACTCTCTACATTTCACTTCCACACAATCTTATCAAGAAAAAGTTTTCATTTTTAATTAAATGGTCTTTTGAAAAATCTCATTGCAAATTTAATTTCTGTAACTCTTTTAAAGCCTTTTCTGTAACGAAAAAGGAAAGTATGCTAGATACACTTACTTGAAATGTGAAGATATGATTGAAGCTTTAAATTTTGTCCTTGACAACATATATGTACGTTTCGGCGATAAAGTGTATCGACAGGTAGTAGGTATTCCTATGGGCACTAACTGCGCCCCTTTAATAGCAGATTTATTCCTGTATTGCTATGAATCTCAGTTTATGACCAAACTAAGTAAATACACGTCATTGTTACATTTGGTTGATACATTAAACAATACTTACCGTTATCTTGATGATATTTTCTCGTTAAATAATCCAGAGTTCTCTAAATATACTACCGAAATTTACCAAAAGGAACTTACTTTGTATAAATCTAACATAAACAGCAGTAGTTGTCCCTTTCTAGATTTGGACATTTCAATTTCTAAACGGAAACTCAATACTAAAATTTACAACAAAAGAGACGATTTTTCATTCCTTATTGTTAATTTTCCTTTTGTAGACGGCGATGTTCCTTTGGCTCCATCATATGTAGTTTATATATCCCAACTCGTTTGTTCTGCCCGTGTGTGTAGTGATATCATAGATTTTAACGAACGAAATCAATGCATCACTGGTAAATTATTAAGTCAGGGATTTCGTTATCATAAATTACTTAAAACATTTACTTAATTCTTTCATAGATACAAAGATTTGATTAGTAAATTTGGCTGTACCTGTAGAAAACGGTAATTCACATCCTAAATTTTACGGTAATATTGTATTAAAAAGGCGGAAATCACTATGCGAACCGTGTAAACTCATCGAACCTTTAACAAACTTATTAGTAAAGGTTATCTTACAAATGTTGTAATTAGATCTTTGAATATAGTTTACATTGGCACAAATATCAATTTTATCATCAGCAAATTAATACATAACTAAATTTGTATTCTTTTCAAATGTTTTTTTTTTAATTTTTGAATACACATCCACGTTCATTTTCTAAGCAACACGAACCCCACCAAAAACTGGGGGTGATCTCAGGTACTCTGGAAGGGTAAGCAGATCCTGCTCCACATGTGGCACCCGTCGTGTTGCTTATGTTATTACAAATACGGTAAATAGTCTAAATCGGTAATCATATTCGTGAAAAGGGAAGGGTATTGTAGTTACGACATAAGGAACATATCCGATATCATCTGTGAAACGGTTATTCCATAACGGTCAACCAACTCGTGATGTCGTCCTTAAAATTTACGAAGGGATGATTTCAACTTCACCATTTGGAACTCTTGGTTTAATAGCTTCCTTGTGAGCAGCAATCCTCTATCAAGGAAATCATGATAGGAAACACAAGCCCGGGAATATCGTATCAATTGGGAGATATATACTCCATATGCAGGCGCTACTGGAATGTTGCTACATAGAAATGGAAAGTTCACAATTGGGAAGCTGAAACCATCTCGTTTGTCGTAAAGTTTTGTTTTCAACCGACCCTCATTGTCAATTTCTAGATGTAAGTCAAGATATGAGGCAGACTTAACAGAAGGGATATAGTTACGATACTGTTGTCAGGTCATTAAAGATTGCATATTTTGGCGTTAATATTGATTCACTTATAGGGTCTTTGCATCGGCACTAAACACATTTATTTAAAAACCAGTTGTTGGCATGACACGGGTTATGTTCTTCTCATATATGTTATGATGGTATGATACTAAACCCCTAACGGGAAGGATTGTGCCTGATATTCATATGATGAAGACATAATCTTTCAATCAGTTTAATTGAAGTCTGGAGCTGGCATGTCAGTTAACTGCTAGTAGTCTGTTGTTATTTATGTATTATTGTCATTTTGTTTATTTTCTTTGGTTACATCTTCTGACATCAGACTCGGACTTCTCTTGAACTGAATTTTAATGTGCGTATTGTTATGCGTTTACTTTTCTACATTGGCTAGAGGTATAGGGGGAGGGTTGAGATCTCATAAACATGTTTAACCCCGCCGCATTTTTGCGCCTGTCCCAAGTCACGAGCCTCTAGCCTTTGTTAGTCTTGTATTATTTTTAATTTTAGTTTCTTGTGTACAATTTGGAGTTTAGTATGGCGTTCATTATCACTGAACTAGTATATATATTTGTTTAGGGGCCAGCTGAAGGACGCCTCCGGGTGCGGGAATTTCTCGCTGCATTGAAGACCTGTTGGTGACCTTCTGCTGTTGTCTGTTCTATGGTCGGGTTGTTGTCTTTTTGACACATTCACCATTTCCATTCTCAATTTTATTAACTGTATCTGTAGTATCCTTTATCTCTAGTTCGATGGGATAGATTTGTTCAACATAGTCACCAAATTTTGTATTATTTAGTGAGAGAACATCATCTATATAGCGGAACGTAGAGTTAAAGGATATTGCTAACTTCTAATCTTTCTTCCTAAGAAGTTCCTGTATGAAGTTAGCCTCATAATAATAAAGAAACAAGTCGGGAAGAAGAGGGGCACAATTGGTTCCCATTGGAATTCCGACAGTCTGTTGAAAAACACGTCCTCCAAACGTAACAAATATGTTGTCAATCAAGAAATCAATCATTTTGATAATGTCAGTTTCAGAAAAATTTTTGTTTCAATCAGAGTGATTCTTTATAAAGAAGGATTGATCCCTCCCCAAGACGAGATACTTGTATCTACGTTCGCCATTCTTTTTAATGAAACAAAATAATACCAACTCTTTCAATTTGTCTTTTAGTTTGGAATGGGAAATACTTGTGTAAAGTGTAGAAAAGTCAAATGTTTAAATACTATTGCAAGATGAGAGAGCCTTAGATTGTATGTACTCTAAAAGATCTTTGGAATTTTTTAGTATCCACATCTGATTCACGCCACCTCTAGAATAGGCAGTTTCACAATAACTTTGGAGCCCGGCTTTGATTGCTGATAAAATAGATGTTAATAATTTAGAAAGAGGTTTTGAAGAGCACTTGGAAGACCCAGCAATATACCGTTGTTTGTAAGGACACTTATGTAGTTTAGGTATCCAATACAGTGATGGAAGATCCAGTTCTTCATCTTTGGTTGAAATTCCAAAGGAACATAGAACAGACCTATGATTATCCAGGATTTCCTCTTTGGGAAGTGTCGTGAGGGTATATGTTGAGTTTCCAAGTGAATTGTCAATACCTAATTCATTTATCAAGCAGTTTATGTAATGATATTTACACACAAAAACGATGTTGTTTGGGGCTTTATCTGCGGGGACAATAACATATTTGTCATGGAGGTAGGTCACGTGTTTTGCAACATTTGGGTCTTTAAAAATTGATGTAGCGTGGGTATTGATATGCCCATTTAGTTTCTTAATTCGGATTTGTATCATCGACCCTAATCCATTCGGAAAGAGTATCTACGTTTTCTTTCTCGCGTTTAGCTCATTGCCTGGCATGATTCTCGACTGAATCCATCAGTATTTTGAAGTTGTATTTCCAATTGATGGATTTAGGCTCACGATATTTCGGACCTTTGGATAACAAATTTCGCAGGAAAGTGTTATTGACAATGTTGAGGTCTCCGGTAAT